AATGTTACAGAGATAAACTTCATTTGAATGCCAAAAATAGGAAACTTTAAGTGGGACAATGGCTGGGAGTAAATCTGAAATTTCTATGCGAATTCTCTTAATTCCCTAACCCTATTTTGACATTATACATGAATTATGAGATTCCAAACAAAAGTTCATCCTAGATTTCACGTTTTCTGCTTTCGATTGCTACGATTTAAAACTTTATTGATCCAACTGTTACTTATATTTTGTTCCTTTTCTAAAAGTCAGTTCTATTTGACTATAGACATGTATAAATGATAAGACTAAAAATGTACAGGTTGGGTCAAATTCGACGCTTTTAAATGGAAACATCCTTTTCTATAGGAGATAGACGAAAACTAATATCGGTGTCTGGAGCTCAATTTTCATCAAAAACATGATGGTGAAAACCGCACATCAATATCTGTTACCGTTTCGGAGTTACGGGGTGTTTTTCAAAGATGTGCATTTTTAACAAATCGCTGTAACTTTTGCTATGGAAAATTTTGTATTTCTATGAAAACATTTCCAAAGCACCTTTTACGTAGAATTTAATGGTTTAAGTATAATTTTTTAAAATTAATAATTTAAGAGTTATCAACAGAAAAATAGATTTTTATTTGGGACACTCTCTATATTTTAATTAACTGAAAAGAATTTAAAATTACCTTTCCAAAAAATATAGCACACTTGATATTTTGTTATAATCCCCTTCGAAATACAGAATTTTTAAAAGTTCGCCACTTTTAACTAGTAGGCTTTGGACCCCTTATTGATGAAATGCCCTTAATGGAACCCGAAAAACATATTTTTCCAGCAAGACGACGCACCGCCCCTGAACGCTGAAGTTATCAGCAAATTTTTGCAGTCAATTTCAAGAATAATTGAATAGCTAACCAAGATCCCAGCCGTTGGCCGTCGAGGCCGCCTGACTTAGTGCCGATGGATTTAATCCTATGTATATATTTGCGGAAGAATATAGGTTCCTTATTCTTCCGTATAATCTAAAAATGTTCAAAAACTGCCCCGTCTGTCCATAACAGAAGACGGTTGATATGTTGTAAACACCTGTAGCAAAATCTCATGTCTTGGTTTGCTATTTATTTTTATTGTTATTAGATAGTTTAAATGTGTTGATGTTGGTTAAATATATGGTAAATTGTTATAAAATTCTGCATGTCTCATAGCAAATATTATTTTCGTTTTAATTGATGCTCACAGCTAAAATTTTTTTGCATTACAGCCGGTGCCGTTCAAAGCCTACTTATTTAAAGTGGGCGAATTTTTATATACTCTATATCTCGAAGAGGAATCGAGCAAAATATCAAGTGTGTTATATTTTTGGAAAGGTAATTTTAAATTATTTTCAATAAATTAAAAATATACAGGGTGTCCCATGTAAACAACCAAATTTTCTGTTGATAAATCTTAAATTATTAATTTTAAAAAAATTATACTTAAACCATTAAATTCTACGTAAAACGGTGCTTTGGAAATGTTTTCATAAAAATACAAAATTTTCCATGGCAAAAAAGTTACAGCGATTTGTTAAAAATGCATATTTTTGAAAAACACCCCGTAACTCCGAAACGGTACCAGATATCGATATGCGGTTTTCACCATCATGTTTTTGACAAAAATTGAGCTCCAGACACCGATATTAGTTTTTGCCTATCTCCTATAGAAAAGGGTGTTTCCGTTTAAAAGCGTCGAATTTGACCCACCCTGTACATCTATTTGTATAGTTTCTCTATAAAAGAAAAACGGCATTCAAATGACATCAAAATAAGCAAAATAAAACACTAAATCAACACAATACACCAAAACACTTTTACTTTTACACTGGACGCGTATTGTGGTGATTTAGTGTTTCATTTTGCTGTTGTAACACCAAAGGTTCCAATCGCCAACTGTAATCTTCAAATGACATGTCAATCTCTTTTGCAAAGAATATTTGATGGCTTATTATGACAATTTTTAATAAATTATATATAGTTGCCCACAAAACTTGTTATCTCTTTAATAAGATTATATTTTTCTAGCTAAGGCTCTAATTTCACTTTGTATTGAGTTAGGACTTTAAAAGGGCTTTTAGTGAAAGCTTTATGAAACCTAGAAAAGTAAAAAAGATGGCGAGTAGACGTGTTTTGCATAGTAATTCTTGTTATTTTGCTAAATTACAATTTTCCTCTTTCAAACTGATGGAGCAACCACAAAATTAGCTTTTTTAGTTTTACAAAGGCAAAAAGGCTAACTATCTATGATGTAAAAAATGAGCCATTTTTCAAAACTTTTATTCTTGTTTCTTTAGTTATATTTAAATACAAAAGTATTACTTCTATAAAAGGCATTTGGTGGTAACGAAGCTATTGCAAAAGTAAAAATATACCAAAAGTACCCCTAAAAAAGTCAGTATACAAAAAAGTGTGTCTCATGTTTAACCCACAAAAAGTCAAAAATAAGATATGTTGAGTTAAATATGAGGCAGTCACAAAACAAACATCTCAGCAGAACATTATTTATCTCAGTAACTACTGATGTCACCCGATGAAAAGTTTGGGAGTCAGTTTAAAAAATTTTGAACCTCAAAATGAAACACTGGATTTGTAATCTCAGTTTTTCCATGAATCATCACACACAGACTAAACAAATTATGAGAGGATGATCTGTTAATCATTATTTTTAAAACCACTTTACCCTAATGAAAAGAAGTCTTGTTTAATTTTATTTTAATTTTATTTTGTTACATACCATAGATTTTTCACACAAATAATATATTTTTCCTCATCCTAAACAAATAAAATACTGTTTGCCAATGTCAATTCGCTTTCGGACAGAGCTCAAATAGAGATCGAGAATTAAATTTTAATCGAAACTTTGAAAAGTAAAACAGAAGCAGACGAAGTAAAAAATGAAAGGAAGTTTTAAACCCTCCTGGTTTTGTAAACTTGGTTTAAACTTTCTATGTAAATAACGTTGGATATGATTTTGAACTTTTTAGTTCGGTAGTTTTTTAACAATGTAAAAATCTGGCAATATCATGAAATCAAAGAACCCATCCATTTGTTTAGATGTAAAAAGAACCCGTGTAAGGCATCTTTTTCTAAATCTGCTTGGTAGAATATTGAAATTATTGAATTATCAGATGGCTTCATGTGTTCAAGACACACTAAAAGCTACACAAAAAAATCCCACTTCTGAGTAAGGAATCTCTCAAATATAGATTACAGGACCTCTAACACGTAAAAAAGAACCATTGTTTTGACTTTCAAGCGTTTAGGTTTAGCTTAACGATAGATAGATAAAAAAGTGTGACATTTTTGAAAGGTCTATCTAAGCTGTCAAGCTATAAAATCCACGGTTATATAAGTCTTCGCATAAGTTTTAATATAAATTTCGTAGCTTGTCTCGGCGTAGTTCAGATTCTTATCTTGCCAATTCACTCCACTTCTATTCAAAGTTAATGAATGTAGAAACAGATTATTCAGATCATTTTAGGCGAGACAGCCCTTTAATGCCAATTTGGAAATTTCTAGAAATAAAAAAGAAATTCTAAAAAAATTTCTGAAATTTAAAAATGAATTAGAAAATTACTTAACATCTTCATTAATTTTTAGCACGTTATGATAAGACAAAAATGTTACAAAAACCTTACTGAACAAATATTTTATCTAATAATACACTCACCGGCACGAAAAACGGGCACCTTAAAGCTTTGATGTATTTTAAAATTTAATATATATATTTTGTTCTACTGGGCCGATTTTGATGATTTTTGAGCAATTTGTAGCTAAATTATTTGAATTTTTAGTTTCTCTTTTTAAATTAAAAAAAAAGTTTTCATCTGTCAATTATACGAGGTAAAACACGATGCTGATATTTTGGTAAAACTTTGAAACACCCTGTGGAACATGTAAACAAAGCTAGGAATTGAAAAATCATTTTATCATCTGGGTACGTCTTCTCTCGATACTTTGATTAATTTATTAAAAAAATTACGATTAACAATTATTATTTTTCTTGTTTCCTATTCTTATTTTATTTAGGCTTGCCATAGGTTAATCCCGTTTTTTGTCTCTGCTAATTTCCCGAAAAACTATTTTTTCTTTGTTTCTACATAAAGTAAATCGATTTCTAGGATGAAGTAGAAAACAGCAAACAAGGTGATTAATAAGAGTGGCGTTTTTGTTTATTTTCCTTGGAAAGACGTTCTTTCTAGATGATCGTGACGAAGAAGTTTAAAGATGGTCAGTAGCGCACGCATTTCTTTCTACAAACAAAAAAAAACAGAAAAAAAAATTATAACTAACCAAAATCTTTATAGTGACACTATAATATTTAGTGTAAACATCAGCATAGATTTGTCATCTCAGGAGATTTTATTCTCTCTTATAGATACTTCCAAAATTATACTCGTATTTTTTGTCAACAAAAAACGTATCTGGTCTCTATCAATGTAGACGTCATTATACGTCCGTTGGCTATCGAAAGTTCGTCTCCTGGAACTCGAGACAAAATTCAATTTTCGGTACTTCCGTTGCATACGAATCATAGTCAGACTCTCTCTTATTCTAGACCACGACAAGTCTAAAACTTTCAAATAATATGAATCGCAAATATTCTTGTCCAGAATCATTTTGTTTTTAATCCTATTAAATTTTCGGATTCTTTTCAAGCGATTTCTTTTAATTACGTTGATTTATTTGAGGTCCAAACATTTTCATAGAGGATATTCTGTTTTTAATATAATTATTTGCGACATCTTTCAACATAAAAGTCAGGTACATAGCAAATTTAACACTTCCTGTAAAAATACAACCATTATTGATAAGTTTTAAACTCGGGGAGAATATAGCATTTTTTGGAAATCGATATTTTGATATTTCCATTCTTTCCGAAAAGAGGGCGCTGTTTGTCTCAGTTTAGTACAGTGCAGTTTAGCAATGAAAGTTTCCTATTTAGAAGATAACAATAAAATTACCACTTCAAAAAAACACTCAATGCCGAGGAATAAATTTATTCACTAAAAGTAATAAGTGACAACTGACTAATGTTAGAATAAATAACAAAAAAAGGAACACACAAAAAAATCACTCCTGGAGTTTTTCCTGAAATTTATGAAATAGTACATAATGAATTGAATCTTACAGAAATACACCGGCTTTTCCATTAATCATATTCATAAATTTCACGTTTACATAATCTCCATTTTATTTTAAATAGTGTTAGCAATCTCATGAGCACATATTTTAAACAAACTAATAATTAAAGCGGTAGTACTTCCTATAAGGAATTTTAAATTAAAATTGTAACTATAACTAAGTAAGGACGCCTAAATATTTTAGAAAAAAACGAAACTACAAACATTTTATAAAAGGAAAGTTGAAAATATTCACAGAAAAATGAGACAATAAGATCATTAAGTGACAACTAACTGTCTGCTTGATTTCGTGATTAGTACAGGTTCAAGCTGGTCCAAGAATATTGGTTGGGGGTTCACTAAAAATAATTATAAACATGTATGGCCAGCGATATATAATTTTAGATGTTACTTACTTTAGAAGATTCATTTTTCTCAAGATCTGTAAGCACTGTTGAGGGTGGAGAGCCATTACTAACATCAGTTTTACTTGAAGAACATTTTAAGTCCGTTGATACTTGAGATACTGGTTTGTTAAGTTCAGAATTTGTGTTGGAACTTGAACTGGAGGAAGCTATAGGGAAGAAAATTTATTATGCAGGTTTAATAAGATTAATAAAAACTCACTTATTTCTTCTTTGGCATCTATGACTGTGTCAGAATTTAAGTCTATACTGGAAACATTATTTTCCAAATTGGCAATATTCTCACCACCTTTCTTCTAAAAAAGATAAAAATATACATATTTAAATATAGTTTTTAAAATATGATATGGACATACTTCAATCTTATTAATTTCTTGTACACGTTTTGAGCTGTCTTGCATCTTTTTCGGCTCATCAGTATTTTGTTCTGTTTTTTCGCCATCTTGAGTTTGAGATATTGGCACTAACGGTTCTATGTTATTATCTTTAAGCTGTTTTAAATATGTGGTTCTTTCTTCTTGAAGTTGCCTGCACAACTTTTGAAGAGTAGTCAGTTTTTTTTCCAGTGAAGTTTGTTCATTGGCCAGCGACATGTGTTGTTCAGAAAGAACAATTAACGAGTTCACGCTGGATTGCCAACGTTTTTGTAAGTCATTGCGCTCGGATTCTAACAAGTGAAGTTGTTTACTCATTTTCGACATTTCCTGTTTGAATGTATCAAATACCTGAGGGAAATGAGTAATATTTGTTAATAAAATTAAACAATTCTGGATGAAATAATTACCTTATTGCTTTTGGTCATGGTTGTTTCAAAATTAGAGTATTCACTCTTATACAAATCAACTTGAGCTTCCAGACTGCGGTTTTTTTCTTGAAGCAGGACAATTTCCCTTTCATACTGCTCCAGTTGTACTTCCAGAGCCTTTCTTTGAGCCAGAAATGTTTGACGCTCAGCCTCGTGTTCTATTTCGACTTTTTTCGCTTGTGTTTCAGCCAGTTTCTTTTGTAATTCTAATTGTTTGGTGACAGTCTCTAGATGGTTCTCTCTTTGCTGGTATTGCTTGTAGAGCTCTGTTAATTTGTCTGTCATACTTTGGTTTTCCTCCTTGAATTTATTTGATTTGTCTTTGCTTTCTGTGATCAGATTGGTCAAGGCGGTCAAGCGTTCAGTAAAGGTGTTTGCGACTTCCCTACGACGATCTTCTTCTTCCTTTATTCGTGCCACATTTTCTTCCTACTTTTACAAAAGACATTTCGAAAAAAAGAAATATTTGTTTATTTAGTATTTGGAAGCCTTTCCAAATAAAAAGTCACGAAAATTCTTCTGCGGAAATGCATAATTTTCAGTTTTTCAACTTTAGAATAGTTGAAAACACGTTGGAAGTGTACCATTTCTATTTATTGACAAAATATTGTAAAATATAGCAAGATTTGAAAGCACTCGAAACAGGCGCGTTTTGACTGCTTTGGTTCGGTTTTTTTTTCGATTTTTCTCGATACGGTATTGTTGTCTAAATTACATTACACTATCTATTAGGTTCATACCTACACAAGAAAAATGTCTAGAATGTAAACAGGAACATGTTTTCATGTAACTGATTTCAGTTATTCTAAAGTCGGAAAAAAGAGAATGATGCATTGCCGCAGAGAAATTTTTATGATTTTGTGTTTGGGGAGGCTTCTATGCTAAAACAAGTTCACCCAAGAAAAATAAGTACATACCTTAATTAGCTTGTTCTGTTTTTGGAGTTCCCTACAAAGGTTCTCTAGCTGGCCCTTTGCCAAAGTCAGTTTCGTCAGTTCCGTATGGTCTTTGTTCCTGTCTTTTTGGGCCAGCTGCAATTGTTTTTCGCGTTCTTGCAAACTAACGAACATTTCCCTGGCTTCGTGGTACAGTTCAACGTATCGTTCCGATATGAAATTCAGCTTTTCCTCGGTATTCATTGCCTCGGTAGTTTTTCTGATATTTTCAATTGAATTTGGATCTCTGCGACGATATTTGTCATGTTTTCTTTTCTTGTTTATTAAGGTCGTTGAATCGGCCATTTCAATCTAAACAAAAATAAATAAGACCTTTATTAAAACACCAAAAAAACATAATCGTTACCGAAAAAAATCTATTTAAATCAGGAGAAAAATAAAAATACTATATATATTAAACAAGTAGATTTAAGTAGCAGTATTATTTTTGTTGTGTGACATGACTTAACCAACAAATAACCATAAAAATCTTAAGAAGTGTCTAATAACAAGTTAAAGGGACTTAAATATATGATAGCATAATGAAAGAAATAATTCTAAATAGCATACCACCGAAATTAAGCACTGTACTCAAAAGTATATGCAGTATTTAAATGAAATTTACTCTTGTATCTATGTAGCTGTTTATTTTTAGCAGTTTTTAGTAAAAATGGCGACCTAACGCTAACTCCTGCCCTGCCCACCTAAGCCATGCTACGGCCATGCTTTCCTACTTAACGCTGTTGCCAGCTCTTATCTTTTCACGTTATTATATTACTAAGATCAGAAGACAGAAGAGATATCGAACAAACTAAAGGCTTTTAAAATAAAATATCTTATTTCTATTGATTAGATATTAATGTTACTTATTAAATATCATAAAGAAGTACGATATTTTGTCCCTTTTGGTGAAAGTTATGTTTAAATAAGTCTGACAACGTCCCGGCTCCGCACTTAAAATATATAGAATACTGTAAGTTGTGAAAGGGGCGTTAAACGAGTATGCCTATAGATGGAGAAGGTTGTAAATAATATTTTTTATCCATGTTGCTAAAGAAATTCTGATTTTTACTACAAATTTTAAGTATTATATTTTATTGATACAAATTTACTGTTAAAACACGTTTCGGGTTGATCACAATATTGATGCATTAGGTTACCGGTTTATTACTATAAAAACTTACCTATAATTGCTCTGGCAAAATGATTAAATTATATTCTCTCCAATACTAAAAAATACTTTTTACAATATTTCTTTTTGTTCAGGCCTTGCATAAAGAGTTAAAACTATAGAAATGTGCATTTATATTTAGATCTTTTTTAACTAGTGCTAAGATTAGAAATGTCACCTAGAGAATGTAGCACAACATTTCAAAATTTGGCGGGGAAATTTAAATTTTCTTCGGCTTGTTTATTATGTTTTAAGTTTTTATATTAATATTCATTCAGGTGTAGTAATGATGCGCGTTATAGAATTAAAAATTGTAGATTAAATCATTTTCTGCGTCATTTTTGAAGAAAAACCGCAACATAGTAATGTTGTTTACTACTATCGAAGTGTTGTGAACATACATTTAATATGGTTATATGTATATGTATATTCGACAAATTGTATAAAATATTATTTTTACCCTTATTCTACGGCTATGCCTAAAGAATTTAAGGTACGAAAAATACCATCAACATTATTATTCTTCTCAGAAAGATGGGTGATGCAAATAAACAGAATTAGAGATTAATTATCAATGAAATATGTTACTTTTATAATAGTCCTAGGCATCATATACATTACTCTATTTATTGATGACCCCGGGCTGTACAAGGTGTGCTGCTAGTAATAGTAACATATTTTTTTTTGTTTTTTTCCATACACATAATCTTGAAAATTGGCAGTTTTTGTTATGTCACCGATTTTGTTAAAACTTCTGTCATTTAGGAATTGAAAGGAGTAGAATAAGAAAATATAGGTCATTGTAGTCTTACGAGAACAGTAATGGATGTAGGAGACGTTTTAATCATCATCAAAAATAGCTTCAAAAAATTGATTTTCTCACAAAACAAAGATATCTACGCCTTTAAACATATATTTTGAATCTACATAAAATCTCCTACAAATACTGTTATTTTCATAATTTTAATACTGTTTACTATCTTAGCATACAGTCATTTTCTTAGCATACAGTCAGTTAGCGATTTTATTCATGTCTCCGATTTTGTTAATACTGCTGTTATTTACTAACTAAAAGGTGTAGAATAAGAAAATGTAGGCAATTGTAGTCCTACGAGAACAGTAATGGGCTTAGGGAACCTTTTAACCTTCATGAAAAATAGCTGAAAACAAGGTTCTAAAAAATTAATTTTCTCACAAAGCCAAGGTACCTAACTATCTAAGCATTTCGTCCAAATATCTTTGAAAACTATTTTTCATTTAATATATAACACCCGTGTAAACAATAGAATACATAATATTTGAAAATAGGTACAGAAGTTTGATGTAGGCCATCTAATTTAACAAATTACTGAATAAGGCTTAACCAAATCATTTGAAGATCTATACTAGTAGTTTTTATTACTCAGTAATAGTAATCGTCGAATAGCTTATGTGGTGCTTGCCTTAAATGCTGATAATAATATTTTAGATGCCACCGCATTTGGAATACTTTTTGCCACACAGGATATGTGTTTATATTTTAATTATAAGGTGTACAAACTATATTTTGTATCATCAAAATTTGTTATTTAAATGTACTATCTTTTTTTTGATATTCAATAATTATTTTTTTATTGATAGTTACTAATATTATTAAAATAACATGGTTGGCATGATTTAAATCAAGTGTTTCTCTTTATTTTATTCATATGATTTAAGTAGAAAAAATCACTTGATTTAAATCACGAATTAGTAATCACCAATAGAGTAAATCAGGAATAATATAAAAAGTAATACCTTGGAAGTAATTACAGTGGTGGCCAAAAGTATGGAAACTTTTTACTTTTTAAAATATCACAGAAAATATTGCTATGCTTAAACTCTCAGGAATATAAATGAACAGCTTATCAGCAAATAAAAGTATTCCAAAAATTACACAGCGAAAAAAATCTGTTTCGCAGTTTTTGTAGGAGAACAATAGATTTCTTGTAGCCAAAAGTATGGAAACCATAAATAAATACATTAAAATTATTTAGTTTAAGCTGATAAACGGTACGATTTGCTTCAGATAAATATAAACATCATGCTCAAGTCTAAATATTTCTCTACGGATTTAAAAAATAAAATAGTTGAATTATACAAGAGCGGTTATAAACAAATTCAAATAAGTAAAAATTTAAACATTTTAAAAGGCACCGTTTCGAAAATAATTCGTAAATTTAATAAAACAGGGAACGTTTCAACAGCTTTTAAGTCAGGAAGACCAAGAAAGTTGTGCAACAGGACAATGAAAGTAATGAAGAGAATATCAATGGGAGATCCAAGAAAAACATCCCCAGACATTTCTCGAGAAATGGGTGAAAGGGGAATATCGGTGTCTGCACGCACGGTGAGAAGAAGGTTGGATGGACATGGGACTTTTTGGAAGAGTTGCGGTGAAGAAACCACTAATATCAAAGAAAAATAGGATGGCCCGCTTTAAATTTACTCAAGATCATCTCACCTGGTCTTATCAGAAATGGAATACTGTACTGTTTAGCGACGAAAGCAAGTTTCAACTGTTTGGTAGTGACGGGAGACGTTATGTCCGAAGACCAAAAGGTACACGGTACAGCCATAAAAGTACCAGATGCCCACAGTAAAACATGGGGGTGGGAGTATAATGGTATGGGGGTGTTTTTCTCGCTCAGGTGTTGGTCCTGTTAAATTGATGGGATAATGGACCGTTTTTTGTACAAAGACATATTGGAGAATAATATGCTGCCTCATGCTGATGAAGAAATGCCACTCAGATGGTTGTTCCAGCAAGACAATGATCCCAAGCACAAATCTCGGTTTGTTCAAAATTGGTTAAATGAACATAATGTTCCACTAATGGATTAGCCCTCACAGTCTCCGGATCTTAACCCCATAGAAAATTTATGGGACCATTTGGATAGCAAAATTCGAAGCCATTCTATTGAGAATGGGCGGCCATTTCCAGTAAAGATTGTACGAGATTGATCGATTCGATGCCACGAAGATGTAGAGAAGTAATTAATTCAAAGGGATATTCCACTAAATATTAGTAATTTTTATATTATCTTGAATTTTAATAAACATTCTTCTTAAGTTTCCATACTTTTGGCCAAGAAAATATTCATAATTTTTTATATATTTTTTGATAGCTGTAATTTTTTATTTAAATGTATTAGGTTTCGTAGGAAATTATTTGTAGGTCACGATTATATAAGTCGTTTTATTTCATATTTTAATTTCTCAGCATAAATGACAAATTAAAAAAGTTTCCATACTTTTGGCCACCACTGTATATATCGAGCAACAATTTGTACCCTCGTTGAATTGGACACTCAATATATCAGTTTAATATCGTCCCATTGCTGCCAAAAGTCACTAACTAACATTTTTCCGAACAACCAAATTCAATCACTAACTGTGTTTTGAATCGGAGAATCGATTGCAAATGTCATTAACTACGATTTCTGGCTATTTGTGTTTTATTTTAATACCGAATAGTTACTAACTATAACATCTTTATGCAATGCAATTCATCTTTACACGCATTTTTCTCGGAAGTAATCAAAAGTAAGTTAGTGACTTTTGGCAGCAATGGGACGATATTATGTTTTTGTACTTTTGTGCTTAGGCCTAAAATTGCTTTACTGTTATCACAACTGTTATGCCAAGGCGTTAAAATGACAAAAACTTATATTTTTTTGATGTTTGAAAAAAACCTTTTGATTTGAAGCGAGTGACTCTTTTGGCACGAGCCGTAGAATTGTTAATGTTATCGTTATGGGACAGAGTTATGAAGATTTAGCCATTTAGGATAGGACTTTAATTAGAAATAAGTCCTAATTATTTGGATATCCGATTTAAATTTATGTTTTCTATTAAAATAAAATAAAAATCTGATTTTTTTTTAATTCATAATTTTTGCCAACCCTGTAAAATAAGATTGGCATGTCTGTCAGTGATCAGTTTGATATCTAGAATGTTAAATACTGTCTGTCAGCATTTTTCCTCTCCTAGATAATAAGCGTATTGCGAAGCTTGTCACATCCTGTAGGCGCTGCTAAAACAAGTGGCTCGTTAATTTGCAAAGAGCGCCATGATATGGCTGTAGATTTTTGAGCGCTTTGTATAATCGGCGAATATTTCGCTTTATTTATTGGCTGGTCGCGTTCACGTGTCTATTAAAAACACTTGAAGACGCGAGTGTAATTGTTCTCTA